CCCTGACTGCCCGGACCAGGGCCCAGTCCTCTCCAGCGTACTTTGCAGAAAGTGACTCCCTTCAAGGAGTGTGGGTTGGCGCCTTTTCTCCCCATCTCATTCCCAAAATAGCCCTGGTAGCCCGCGCATCAAAGGCGGCTTTGTGAGCGGCCGCCTGCAGGCTGCCTGGAGGGGGGGCGCACGTGGGGCGTTCTGGGAGCGCGTCCCACTCCCCTCTCCAAACTCTCCCTATTCTCCCATTCATTCTTCTTCCCTCTCCTTCTTTGTCTCTTTCTCCTTCTGCTTTTCTCCTCTTCTGTGCTCGCTCCACATCTCTGTCTCTCCTCTCCTCTCTACCCGGGACTTCATTTCGGAGTTGTTCTTCCTCCTCTCTTCCGTCTGCCCCCGCCCCCCCAGCCCCACCCCATCCCAATCTCTCTTCCCCTTGTTCTCTCCCTTTCCTCTCTCTCCCTTCCCCTCTCGCCCACCTCCTGCCTCTTATTCCCTTTCACACCTCCGGGCTCCTTCGGCGCCCACGCCCCCCTCTCCCCACCAGCCCCCAGCAGCCCCCCCAGCCCCACCCCTGCGGTCAGGTAGCCGGGCGAGGCCGGCGCGCGCAGCTGACAGCGGACGCATGCCTGCAGCCAATCAACGCCCAGATGCGCTGCAGCTTGAATAAATCATTAAACCTGACACGCGCTCGGGGCCCGCGCTCTGCGCAGCAACTTGCTTCCTGCCATTAACCTACACACCCTCTTTTGTAACAACCTAATCTTGCATACAAAGGAAGAAGGAATATAACTTCGACCTGCCTTAGAGACCAACCCTTCGCCGGCGCAGCGGGAAGAGAACGTTAGTGCCAGCGAATCCACGCGCCCCCCCCCCCACGCCACCTTCGACTTTGATAACCTGGAGTTTCTGGGGGAATCCGAAAACGGATCATTTCTTGGCCCAGGAGTGGAAACCGGGAGAAAAAAGTTGAGAGACGTCTCAACAATAGGGAGAGGAAAATACGGTTGAGGGCATTCACTATATCAGAGACACATCCATAGTGTTTTAAAAAGAGTCTGCAATAAAACAAGCTTCTCGGAGAGCTCACTCTAAAAGATATAAATATAGACAAGTCCTAGAAATGTTGACTAAATTTAATAATTTGTTCCTCCATTTCTAAATGAGTACATAAATGCCTGAGTGAATGAATGAATGGCTTCCCCACCGAAGCATGGTCTTTGTTTATCTTGGTACCAAAGCCTCCAGCACCACCTTTCTGCGTGGTTCAGGAAGATCAAGAAAAGCAGTTGTCTCTTGCACTGGTATTTCTTGCATTGATAACTTTAAAACCTTTTCGTTTTCTGTTTATCAAGGGAAGCTATTATCTTCATTTTCCAGAAGAGAACCCTATAACTGACTTCTTTTGCGATCCTTGGGGTAAGTCATTCTTAGCTCAAAAAGAACTCATTTTCCAAAGTTAGGTTTAGAACAGAATTAGGTTCACTTCTGCCCTAGTTTCCTACTGATAACCCTGTGTGTCCCCGGAAATTTTACACAAAACTGATACATCCCCGAGATCCTGTGGGAGAGTAGTCCATGCGCCAGCCAAGGTCAACAGAACCAGATGGCCCGCTTGAAAGGGTAAATGAAAAGAGTTTAATGGAAAGAGGAGAGGTGGGTGGGGCTAAGGGAAGCAAAATGGTGCAGCACCCTGAGACTACTAACAAGAGGGAGCCATTACCTCCTCTGTGCCTGAAGAAGCAAGAGGAGGAAGCTGTCACTACATCTCAGCAAGATCTGTTCTGGGAGAGAGGCCTTCTGACAAGAGCTGTAGCCTTAGATCCAGGAGCAGAGTCACTGTCAGAGCAACTGAGCACAAGCGGTGAGGAACAGGGGTATAAAGGACCCAACCTACCTCCCTTACTACCTTGCAATCTCCTATTGGTGCCTTCCACTGGCCAAACCCAACAGAAAGCCAGAGGTCAAGGGAGCCCTAGTGATGAGGTCCATAACAACCAGCCTCCTGAAAGACAAAGCAGAGCAGAGAAGATGGGTTTGGAGGAGGAAAGGAAGATAAGCAGCACTGCCCTCAATCTGACAGGGCAGACCATCCATTCAGTCAGCAAATACCTGTCTCCCCAGGGGCTGTGGAGATGCCAGTGCACAAGACAGGTATGGTCTCTGTCCTCCTGGAGTTTACCCTCTAGCAGGGGGGCAGTTGAGAGCAATCATATGACCAAAGATAGTTTTTTCACATAGTAGTTAATGCCAGGAAGGAGAAACAGCGGAATGGATAGAGAGTGAGGGTGGCCAGGGGGAAAGCTGCTTTAGACAGAGTGTTCAGGGAAACTTCTGGGAGGAGGTGACATTTGAAGTAAGGTGACCTGACCCTCCCAGTTAAGCCAAACTTAACTCCACATCTACTGCCAAACTTCTTTCTGTGTGGTTTATGGGTAAGTCTCAAATCTAGGCTGTGATTTAGATGCATCTGTGGACCAGTCCTATGAAAATGAGAGGCAGGGCTGGAAGTCGAGAATAACAACTACAGGCACTCACATTTACATAGAGCTTGTAACCTCCCCCACAAGGCAAGTGCTAACTGCTTTACATTGTCTCCTCGTGCTGCTGTGGGTCCCATCAACCCCATGTTACAAACAGGAACACTTAAGCTGGGAAGGAATTGAATTGCTGCTGCTTCTGTGTTCCAACAGCCCCAGGTCTGCAATAACAGCCAGGTGGGAATGTACATTCCACTCCCTCCTTCTTATTACATCTCAGTCCTTTTCCTTTGATGCTTGCTGGATGCAGAGAGCAGACTGGTATCTTCTCTTCTTTGGTGGGCCTACCTGATGTGAACTTGAGATAAGTTCTTCTCCAGTTCTACTCCCAATTTAAAAGTTTTAAAAGTCTTTGTCACGGAGGTGCAATGTGCATCCTGGTGGCTCCAGCTCCAGCCTCTGATAGTGCTCGGGTCCAGCAGTTCGGCAGCCAGGGGCAGGTCTGCCTTTTCTTTCCCGCACTGCCCCCTCCTTCTTGTCAATTTCAGGCGTGTCTCCAGTCTTAACTCAGGGGTCTCCCGGCCACTTTTTGAATAGGTGAGATTTCTCAGTCAGTAAAGTCAAGGCAGTTTTCTTCTCCAGTACCCTCCTCCAAAAAAAAAAAAAAAAAAAAAAAAAGTGAGGTGGGGGCTAGGACAGGGGAGAGGCCGCGATTGCTAGCCTCTGGGGTCTACATTTTGTATTTCGCTGACAGCCCAGGGCCGCTGCAAAGCCCGCCGCGCAGCCAATGGGCAGCGGTGATTTATGGAGCTGACTAATGCTGGCTGAATGCGGCCTGTCAGAGCACTGTGAATGGCTTCCCTTCCCCGCACAAGCCCCGGCTTTGTGTTGCTAAGCGATTAGAGCAGATGTAATGAGATTTTGCCCAATCCCCGCTTTGCCCTTTCCTAGCTTCGGCAAAATTGTGTGTGTTTTTGTGAATTTTTAGAGTTTGCCTTCGCATTGTGGCAAACAACGGCTAACTTTGCCTCGAGTTTAACGAGACTGGATATTTCCCATTCAGAAGTGAGTAAAAGAACACCTGTCTTCAGAAGGAGAAGGGGGGAAAAATCCCCTTTGTGGGGGCTGAAACATTATCCTAATGTTATATTCATAGCCATAAATGACTTGCTACACTTTCTTTGCATACCTTATCTGGAAACTTGCAAAGGAGCTAAATTAAAAGAAAAAGAAATGGGGGGGGGGACCTCCAGCTCTGGTCCTCCAAATGAGAAGATAAAAATAAAAGCAGGCATCACAAAGGCATTACTTCCCTCAAGTAAGCTCTAAATTGGCCCACTGCTGGCAGAAAGTCCGATTATTTATGGCGATGAGGAATTTACTGATTTTTTTTTCCCCTTAATTACGCTCATCTCTTTGAAAGGGACTGAAGCTTCAATGTGCATTCTATAGAGGGTCATTTAGCAAAATGACATCAGACGCTGTGGCGTGCTCCGTGCATCGCGGCTTTAAAAAATGATTATTCTGTGCCACTAAATGGTATAGATGTACCAACACAGACTAGATTTTTAACTCTGGAAGACGTGCTGGCTCTCCGTTCTTTGTTGGGTTTTGTAAGATGCATTTTGCGCTAGGCTTTCCGCTTGGCTGGAGACACGCAAACTGAATCTGCAAGTAATGCAGGCGGCGAGCTAGGAGCTGGCGAGAGAGGGGGTAGGATTCTGATCACGTCCTTGCTAACTGACAAGAAGCAAGCCAGCCAAAAACCCACCAATTTCTTTTTGAATCTTGGTAATTGGGTACTTTTACACGCAGCTCACGCTATTCGGATAGAGTCACAAGCTTAGATAGGCCAGTGTCTCAAAGCGACCACACATTTCTAAGGCTTTCATTCATTTAAATCTAACTCCTTCTGCAAGGAATTCATATCATACGTGTCCTTTACTTAAAATCAACATGGAAAGTGTGTGGAGTGGGGCAAAGGAAGAGAAAATGTGTGCCTAGGAGTGAAGGAAGAACACACCCACCACTGGGAGAACGGCGGGCGGTGGGGAGGGGGATGCTACCACCCCCATGCCCAGGCTCCAGTACTACCAGCCTTCCATCCACCCCTAATGTCCATGATCCCATCCAGCCTTTCCAGTTTCACAAAAAGAAATCCCAAATTGGGGTAAGGGTTAGAAAGTAAGGTGAGGACCCTCTCTTTCCAGTTCACTTTCCAGGGGATTTTAAAAATGCACAATCAACCCATCAAAAGACATCACAGCCATTATAAGTACCTGTTCTTGAGGTGTGTGTGCTTGCAGCATAAAAAGGGAAGAAAGCGGTCTTTGCTTATGCAAGTCTTTCCCCCTGCATTCATCATAGAGTCACCTCGGGTAGGACTGGTCATAGCACTTATCTTTGTCATTTCTGCCCCTTGGCATGTTTTATACCACCCTCTTGTCCACCACCCACTCCTTCCCTTTGGCATTTCGAAAATAACTTGGACAGGGACAGTGGAGTCAAGGAAGACTTGGAGGCAGCTGATTATTTTCATTTGTAAAAAAAGAAAAAAGTTTTATTACGAAACTAGTTTGTATAAAACAGGGTTATACACGTTTCTTGTAAGTTTGTAATAAAACAGTAAGAAAAAAAAAAGGCAGTGATAGAAATTTCCCAAAGGGCAACCTATCAAAACCAACTGGCTGCCACACTTTACGTTTGGACAGTAGCTGCATAAACTTTGTTCTTTTTGAACAGTATTTAATAACATCATTAATACATTAACAAAGTTTCTATAAAGTAAGACACATTGGTGCTGAAGTTCATCTGGTGGCCTTTTGATCTCACCTGTGAGGAGAGTTCTTTACAAAACCACATAGGGGGAATGGCAGTTGTAACGTGAACTACACATCTAAAATATGCAGAGGTAATAGCATTACATGTTAAAGTATCAAGATATACACATTTTAAACCATTTGTACAAAACTCTATAAATTTTTTCTCTCTTTCTCTCTTATGTACAAAAATATCTTAATATATCCCCAAACTGGTTAGGATAGATACAAATAGATTTTTCTTATAATAAAAAAATTCACAAAAGATTGGAAGCATTCTATGACGAAAATGGTAGAAAAGATGGTGTGAGGAAATGGGATTTAGGGAGTCCCCCCACCCCCACCCCAGGAGGATCTGAGTTTCAAAGGACTGAGTAGAGCATGATTTCACTGCAGACAAATGTCCACAGCTTACTGGGATGGGGGATACTGAGATGAAAGACACTAACCCATTTCTACAGGGCTAAGAACTGCGCTTTCAGAGAGGGCAGGGAGGTGAAGGCACCCTAGCAAGTGCTTTCAGTTCTGCCTGTTACTGGTGGGTGGGAGTTTCTGTAGGGCTGTGCTGCTCCCTTCTGCCAGGAGCCCACTGCTTATGCACACAAGCTGCATTCTGGGCTTTGACTCAGGTTCTAGTCACCCTTCATAGCTCCGTTAATGACTGGAGTGCAAAGACACAGTTCTGAGCGTATCCCCGCCTTGCAAGAGCCTTGCTTCTCAGGCATGCATGGCTTAGTTGGTCTTGGGGTTGGTTGCCTGATTTTATTTTGTTTCATTTTTCTTTCCTTCTTCTCTTCTTCTTTTTTTCTTTTTTTCTCCCTTCAAGATCGCTGACAAAGCACTAAAGATGCAGGTTGTGCGGTCACCCTATAACTTAAGAAGAAGGGAAGAGGTTAGTGTGAACTTGGAGGATGGCGGCGGGGGAAGGTGAAGGTTTGGAAAAGGATCTGTCAGGTAGAGCATCTCTTTTGACAGGTCGGGGTACTCGAGTCTCCGGCAGCCCTCCACCTCACTCCACCCTCAGTCCTTGGAGAACTAGGGAAAGCCACTCCCAGGGGCCAATACTGAAACAAACCAAGCAGCATTTGAAGTCGACAAACTTTAACAATTTTTTTTTAAATCAGCAGCCAATCTCCCCCCACCCCCAATCTCCGTGGAGACAGTCTCCGTCCTCCAGACACTAAGACGGAGGAAAAAGAAGGAAGGTAAGAAAATCATTCTGTTCGCTCCCAAATGCGACCTACCTGCTTCCAAAGTCCGTTCGCATCAGGGCCTGACCAGGCCGAGCCCTTCAGAACCAGTTGGTGAAGTCGAGCAGCTCTTGTTCCTCGGGGCTGAGTGGGTCGTAAGAGCCCTCGTCTGACGAGTAGGAGGAGACCGGCGAGCCGGCCATGGAGTTCAAGTCGTTGGAGTAGTTGGGGGAGATGGTGGGCGACAGGACGCCAGCCTGGAAGGCGGCGCTCACCGCGTCGTGCTCGTCCAGCAGCTGCTGCAGTGCGCGTATGTACTCGACCGCGGAGCGCAGCGTCTCCACCTTGCTCATCTTCTTGTTGGCGGCGCCGTTGGGGACGTGTTCCCGAAGGGTGGCAAAGCCCAGGTTGACCAGCTTGACGCGGTTGCGCTCGCGCTCGTTGCGGCGCGCCACGGCGGCCGGCTGCTGCTGCGGCAGGCTGTAGCCAAAGCCGCTGAAGTTGAGCCGGCGTTTGCAGCGCATCAGTTCGGGCGAGGACGAGCGCTGTCGCTTGACTTGCTTGGACGCTGACTTGTGACCGCCCCCTGAGGGCTGGCCGTCGGCCGCCGGGCTCAGATGCGGCGCGGGCTGCTGCTGCTGCTGCTGCTGCTGCGCGCTCTGCGCCGCCGCCGCCGCTGCCGCCGCCGCCGCCGCCGCCGCCGTGGCAAAGAAGCAGGCTGCGGGCGGCAGGAAGGGCTGCTGGGGCTGCGGCTGGGGCTGCTGGCCGGCGCCGCCGCTCTCCATCTTGGCAGAGCTCTCCATGCGCAGCGGCCGCCAAGGAGTCGCAGAATGGGAGCAAGCGGGGACGCGAGGTGCGGACGCGCGAGGCGACGCAGACAGGACTTGGGCGCACGAACAGAGAGGGAAAGAAGGGGAGAGAGGAAGAGGGAGGCCGGAGGGAAGTTAAAAAAAAAAAAAAAAATTCCCCGGGAGACTTCTTAGGGTGGGAGCAAAGAAGGTGCAAAAGCTTTTCCTCCTCCCTCCACTCCACCTCCTCCCCTCCCCTCCTCCCTTCGCGGGGTTGGCTTCAGGAGACTCGCGTGGCGCTCGCGTGTGAGGCTGCCGCTAGCGCCTTCTTGTTTAAAAAAAAAAAAAAAAGCCGAAGAAGCAAAAGTCAGTGGTGAGCACCGTCTGTTGAGCCTCCCGTTCTTCGCCCCCTATGACTGCGCTCTCTTGCGCCGGGCCTCGGTCTCTCCAGCCGTGGCTCAGGCTGTTTTTTTATTATTTTGTTAACTCCCTTTCTTTCTTATTTCCTTCTTTCACTCGCCCTCCCTGGCCGGTCCCCTGTCGGTGCGCCTTCCACGTTCCCTGGCCAGAAGTGAGAGAGTGCTGGGCGGCCGGAGTGCGGCCGCCTTTTCAATGGGACACCCAGCCCCACGCGCAGCCCTGGCCCCGCCTCGCCCCCCACTCCCCGCTGCTACAGCGAGCGGCTGCAGCCCCCACTCCCCCCCTCCTACCTCCTCCTCCCACCCACTCCCTAAACTCTCCCTCCTCTTCTCCTCTTCCCCCCCGCCCGGTCCCTGCGCCCGCTCCTTGCAAACTCTCCATTCAGTGGGGTTTGTTGTTGCAGTGCGTGCGCCTGGCGCGTGCCGGACTCCCGGCTGAATAAACAGGCGGCGCGCTCAGGGCGGGCTGCAGCCGGGGGCGGCTCTAGAAAGGGGGGGCCAGCGTCCCTGGAGGGGCCAGTAGCCCTGGGAATTGGGGGTGTATGGGTGGAAAGGTTTGGGGGTGAAGTGCCTCGGGATTCTCCTGACAACTGGAGCAGAGCACAGAGAAGGGTTTGAGCAGACAAGTGCCACGGGTGGTGGGCAGGTTGGGGAGAATGGGGCTCTATTTTTCCTGCTTTCATCTCCCATCCACTGTCATTCTCTTGGGAGTCTTTGCTGTTTGGGGGAGCTGAAGCAATTTGCAATTGAAGTTTAGAAAGATGGGGAGAACTCCGTGGGAATTACTGGACTGTTAAGTAAATAAAATTGCGGTTAAGACTGGGTCCCAACGCATCCTCTCGCTAGCTCTGTGGCCCCTTGGTAAGTGGCAACCGCTCCGAGCCTCAGTTTCCTCATCTGTAGCAACAGAAGTTTGGATTAGATGGTCTCCAACGTCCCATCCAGGTGACAAACTAGGATCTGGTTCCCACAACTGAGTAAATGTGGAGGGGACCAACAAGACCAGAGGTGTTCTCTTTGGGGGTGGTTGTGATCGGTGCTATACGTAGGGGTATGGCAGCGATTTCCGCCCTCCCCCCTCATGACCTCGGTTGCCTGTAGCATCGCCCCCCTTCCCAAAGGATTGTTTCCGGACTCGGCTGGGGGATGGATAAAGAGGGGAGTACTCTTGGGGTATTCTCAGGGTGGGTCTGAGGAAAGAGATGGGGGTAGAGGTTGAGGGACCAGAGGAGCTTCTCTGGTTGTTCCACGCCGCCGCAGGCACCTCGGCGGCCTTGGCGCAGCCTCCATCTCGCCCCAGGCGTGTGCCCGGCGGGCCGGTGGCAGGCGACTGGGAGCGGAGCCCGGCGGGGCCGCGTGCTGGCGCGGCGAGGGAGGGGGAGGCGCTTACAGCGGTGGCTCGGCCGCTTGGACAGCGCCCACCCAGGCGCCCTTCCTGGGCTTTGGTCCTGGCGCTCTCTGGTATGGCCGGGTCCAGCTTTGGGGCGCCTTGGGACGGGGCTCTGCGGAGAATGCGGACCCAGCCACCGGTCCCATCTCGGCACCGCTCTAGTGGAGGCAGGGGAAGAAGTGTGGGGCGCGTCTCAGGTCGAGTCTCCCTAGACAGAAGGAAGAGGACAATCATCCGTGGATTTGTCCGGTAGAGACAGACAGTTTTGATCAGAGACCAGCAAGCAGGGCTGATTGTGGGGGAATTATCCAAAGAATTGCTTCTCATTGGACTTCCTTTGTGGAGAACGGTCTTTCTAAAGGATCTGTGGGGGTGACCCAAGGAGCCGCCTTTGGTATGTGTGACTGGCTTGGAGTGTTACCAGAACAATAGCGGTGGTGATGGGCAGTGAAGACGGATGGCTCCGGAGAAGCACCTCTCTTCTCTGCCTCAGTTTCCTCTTCGAAAACGTGTGGGTTTGGGAAGCATCGGAGGGAGCCGTGACCAACAGAGACCAGTTCTGTGAACCTCCTTCCCCACACAGTAACCTGTGACTTCACCCCACAGGACTGCTGGACTCGGTGGGGTTTACACCTCTGTCCTCTCCTCCCACCCCCACCCCACCCCAGGAAAGGAGTTGAGAGGACTCCAGGATCACTTTTGTCTTCCCTTCCGGGAAGTATAGGAAGTTGTGGGGCCTAAAACTGAGCCACACCGCCGCTTTCGTCGGTGGAAGCCGCAGACCACCTGGAGAATAGCGGTTACTCAGGCACTCCTCCCCACGCACGAGCCCCAGCTGTGAGCCCCGGGTGCTGGCCGCTAGGAGGCGTCTCGGAAAAGCCTCCTGGGCCCTATCCACTCCTTTTTAGCAAAACGCGGGGAGTCGCCAACACCGACCCATCTGACTGCTTTTTCTTTCCAAGGCGGATTCAAGCGCCCTTCCATTCAGACTCTAACATTCCACATTTGACCAAGGTCTATAATCCTGGTTTGCACTGTAACCTTGAACAAGCTCCTCTTCCTCGACGGCCCTCAGTTGCTCCATCTGTGCAGGAGCGGCTACACCAGCTCATTTCGAGATGGGGCTGCGAGTGCGGAAAATCTGCCAACAGCCAGCACGCGTTCTCAGTTTCCTTTTCGGGTGCGGACTTCACGCGTTATGGAGATCCTAATGATCAGGGACTTCAAGGGCAGAGCCTACTCCCAACCCCCACCCCACACACGCCAGAAAATGGGCACCCAAATAGAAGCTCCAGCTAGTGAAGCCATGCATTGTAGTGGCCATATGCGTTCCTCTCCGCCCAGGAGAAAAAAGACTGCGGGCACTGGGATCCTTCCGGCCCTAGAACATGTGTCCTTATTCTCCCTGCTCCAGTCCAGAACCAAATCCCATCCTCACCCTCCCTACTCCAGCGTCCTCAGCCTGCTTCTTAAGGGCTTTGCAAAATCTCAAAGAACTCAGGCGTTCCCTTCTGCCTATTTGAGTAAACTCAAAGGATGCTCCTCACCATAGCCCTAACCCACCAAGCCCTAACCCTTCCTCTCCATCTTCTCCAACCAAAAGGTAGAGTGGTTTAGTATTGTTTTTTAGGGGCTTGGCCTCTGTCTTTGGAGACTGTGCCCTACCAAAGTGAGTTTCCCACTGAAATTGCCTTTCGGGTGGTGTCACCAGTTTGGAACAAAGGACTGAAGCTTAAGAGCCCCTGAGAATCTTGCCTCTGACCCTGGGGCCTAGATGATATCACACACACACACACACACACACACACACACACACCTCTGAGAGAACTGCCATGCACTGTCCTAGGCCCGGGGAACCCTAGACCTTGCACTGAGAGGTGAAGCAAATGGACTTGATTTGATATCCAATTTCCATTGCCTAACAGCTGTGACATGAAGCAAATAGCTTATATTCTGAGTCTTGGTTTCCTCATCTGTACCATGCCCATAGTTGTAGTACGACCTCCAAGTGTTTTGAGGTTTCAGCAAGATGGATATGGAGCGCTCTGGGGCAGGTCTAAGATCGGAAGGAATTGATGAGAACAGCCTTTCTAAAACTATGAGAAAGTCACTGTTCATATAGCCCACCCAGGAAGGGGCTTGTAGGAGGATGCGGGCTCTAAGTTTACTGGAACCACACTGTGATAATCATTTGCAGCCATTGTCCAGCAGTTGGAGATCCACTGTCACCCTGTCCCGCAGTCCCAGCACCTGGAAGTGGGTAATTTCTGTCATTTTGGAGAAGTGGTGGTATGGTCAAAAATCAAGGAGATAGAGATAGGACCCAAGATTTTAACATAAAACAGAAGCAAGTGAGTTCAGATACAGACATGCTTCAAGGCCTGCACATGAACGGATTTAATAGAGCCATTGGCCCTTACCCCTAGCCTTCTGTGCCTCCCTTGCCAACCAAGGGCCCTGCCTCTAAGCAAGTCCCCTGGGCTTTACTTGACTAGGACACTCAAAATGTCATTTATCTAGATGTGGAGGGAGAAGAAAATGCACAAAAGGAGCGTTTAATACCTTCATCCATAAATGGAGTAGTGACATTTTCTTTGCTTATCTGTCAATGCTGTCAGGAGAATTAAATCTGATGTTGTTCGTGAATTCACTTTGTAAATCCCTCCACACATGTCAGGGATCGCCATTCTTGTGATAAGGTGGCCATACGCTGACCTCCTTTGGTGTGTATTACCCAGAATATAGACAATCCCAGAAAAATGCGAAGGTTTCTCTTTCTCTTCAAAAACGGTAAAAACCCTTCCTTACCTTCTCTAGCATCTCAGGCCCCTCTTCTATGCTAGGGAATCCTGGAAGAGTACCTTACCTTAGATGAAACCTTGAATATATTCAGCTCCTGTACCTGTGTGGGGAGACAGCTTTCCTAGTGATGCAGGGGGATCTGCCCCCCCCAGGGCATTTGAGGTCCTGATGCCCCAAGTCTGCCACCTTCATTTCCACTCACAGTTGAAGGCCAGGCCTGTGCCACCTTTGTTCACACACTATCCTCAAACACCAGAGTTGTGCATCTTCTCTCTGTAGAAAGGAGTTCAGCCATATCTTTCTTAAAAGGCTCCATCTGTGCTTTTTTCTTTTGGAAGGAGGGGAATTAACATTAAAAGTGAAGCTTGATTTTCCATCCAACAGATCATTTGGTAAAATTATATTTACGGTGAATCCTGAACAAAGAGCAAAGAAAGTACAAAGATGAACACAGGCCTCCGATTCTTGATTTGGAGACAAGACTTTTAGTGCAACCTTTAATTTGAGTGAGCGCTAAGCATCAGAAGCCTCGATGCCTCAAGAAAAGTGAGTATACAGGGTGTTCATAGCAGATACTTGGTTTCCAGTAGCTGGAACACAGGGCCGCTGGCCTGGGGTAGACACTGCTCTAAGTCTGTACTTGACACTGTCCTATCCAGGAAAAAGGAAAAGTTTCTGACTGTTTAATCTATTGTCTCCAAGCTCAGCTTTCCCAAGGTAACCCCAGAAACTGCTGCTGCCTAGCCTGAGTTGGGTCTGACCAGCCCGGATTGGCCTGGGAAAAGGGGTTGGGTGTGGGGAGAGGCAGAACAGCATAAACCATGGATTTGGCTTGCCTGCTTGGTCACAGCAGCCAGGCCTGCACCTGCATTAAGGAATCCAGGCTTCAAACAAATCTATTTGCTTTTTCAATAAGCCTTAAAAAAAAAAAAGCTGGAAAAACAAAACAAAAAAAGCACAAACTATTATTTTATTGTGGCTTTTTGGTTGGGGAGGGGAGATTCGGGTAGGGTGAGGGAGTAATTTGCAGCCACTCTCACAAGTCCTTTTGAAGTTCTCCAAATAAGGAGAAGTAACGCTGCTAAGTCTTTATTTTTTTCTAAAGCCCCATTTACATTATGATTAAATACCTTCCTGGGCTAAGCATAAAGAAAGTCGTTAATCTATATAGCTCTCCAAAGAATCAATACATTCTAAACTTTTGTAGGATTTGTTACACTCTATTTTGTTACAGTAGGCCAGCTCCTCTAGGTCTAGGCACATGGCTCTCCTTCCCTCCCCCCTTCCACCTCCTCCAAGAATGAAAATAAAGTAAAGGTCTTTCACGGTAAACAAAACCAGCTGATTCTTCACAGAGACCCCATGAATAGCTGGAGAAGAAAAAAAAAAAACTTACAATAAATGGTGCATTTTTTTCTCTGCTGGGTATAGTATTCAAGGATCAGGGCAGTATTCAAACAGAGGTCCATTTTTTGCTCAGCAAGAGAGTTTAGAAAAGAAGCGTGGGGTCCATTCAGAGCTTTTCCCCCTTCACAATCACAGGGTTCTATGAAACCTATATTCCATGCCTTGTCGGAGTGTTTCTGGGGACCAATTATTGCTTTGTTGCACGGCTTCTTTGCTGAATCTTTGAGCAGCAAGAAAAAGCGCTCTCGAGTCTACCCTTATTTTGACCATTTCAGTCATTACTCAGTGTAATAATTAATATGACAACTGGACGCTTGAGTTTGTATAGAAACACCTCAGCTACAGGAGCGAGCGTGCAGTGGGTGGTAACGAGCCACACATCAGCCAGAGAAGCCACACACACAAAAAAAGGAATGAATGGCCAAAGAGAAAGAGAAGGAATAAAGATAAAATAGTTGGCACAACGCAGAGGAACATAAAACAGACTCGAATGGAGAGTGGGAGGGGGAAGGGGGGACAATTAGAAGGGGAGGGGGAAAAACACCCTACAGAGGTTAACTTATTTTGAAACTGTTTTCTGAATAAAACCTTGGACGGGAGTGACCGGCTTTCAGCCGCTCCTGTTTCCCCCAGCATTTATGAACTCTCTCGGAAGGAGGCGGGGGTGCAGTGGGAGGAAAGGCAGGCTCCCCCAAGCTTTAGGTTCCTCCAGAACAGGGACCCAAAGTACCACCCCTCCCAAGTTCCAGCTCCTTGTATGGCTTCCATTTTTGCAAAAGTGCAAAAATCCTTTTTCCTTCCTTCAACTTCAGTCTTTGGAACTGGCAATACAGAAGATCGGGAACAAAGTGTAGACGACTCTCTGGGTCTGGGGTGAATTTTGGGGAGAGGGTCTTTCTGATGCACCCCAACAACTCCGCAACGTCGCCTCGGGGAACAGCGCCCTGTGGGGCTCCTGGCGGAGAGGATCGCACCCTGGGAACTCAGGGCTAGACTGGGCGCTGCGCCCCAGCCCCGCGCTGTGCCCGCCTCTACGGGTCCCCTGCAAGCGCGCCCCAGGGTTGCGACCTGCTCCGTGACGGCATAATAAATAATTAGAGGGTTTAAGCACGTTAGCCACAGCTCATGCTAATGAGCCAGATAAGGACTCGTGCTAACCCAAACTGACAGTTTGCATATAGGAGGGGGAAAAAAGTCCTGCTATTTCCCCCCAACTTGATTGCTCCTTCTCAAATTCATACGCCTTCAGCCACCTTCCCCCTTTCCTCTCCCTATCCTCTCTTCCTATCCCCCCACTTCCCACCACACACACAACACGCACTCCACCACCCCCTTTTGACCCTTCCTCTGTCTTTCACCCTCCCTAGCCCACTATGGTGTCACAAAATTCCCGGGTGCTGGGGCTGATATTTGACATGTGAGGAAAGTTCCCTCCCAGGCGCGTCCTGGCCGATCTCAGCCCCGAGCTGAAACGGTTTCTGCGCTTTTCTTTACACAGTGTGAAACGCATCAGGACTCCCATGCGCTGAGAACGACTTTGAAGGTCAGGGGCCTTTCAGAGCTCTGGGGTCCCTGAACGCGCTTGGGTACTCCCTGCGCTCAACAGGGTAACGGGAGCTACGGGCTGGGGCGAAGGACGCAAGCGCCCCGGGTTCTGGAGTTCCCTAAGCGCTCCTGCCGCCTCCGGAAAGCAGGGGCAGTTTGCCGAAGTGACTGAGGTCAGTCGTGTGTCCCCATTGTGTGGCCACGTGTCCTGTGTCCATCATCACCTCCCAAAGTCCAAGCTCAGCCCGACTCCTTGCGGCGCTGCCCGGGAATGCTCTGGCCTATAAATCAGCCGGGCGGCTGTGAGCCATCTCCACCTCCCATGCCGACCTGGACGACTGCCCCAAGGGCCAAGTGGAAAGTTTGCTCACGTAAGGTTAGGAAGGAAGCCACAGCCAGGGCTCGCTTTCTGCTAGGAAAACAGGGCCCAGGTGGCCCGTTAACTCTTTCCTTCTTCTCCTTAACGCTTTCCTTCTTCCACACTTTCCTAGGCCTGGTATTTGCAGGGTCTTTATTGGGAGGAGGGGTGTGCAGGGGGATGAAGAGGGTAATTTCTGATACATGGATATTTATTGGCATGGAACCTTAAAGAACAGCAACAAAAGCAAAATTAAATGAGTTAGTATTTGTAAAATGCTGAAGACAGTGCCTGGGACACAGTGGATAGTGTACATGCATTTGTTAAAAAGTGCACGCATACTGGGTGCCTGGGTGGCTTAAGCCTCTGCCTTCGGCTCAGGTCATGATCTCAGGGTCCGCATGGGGCTCTCTGCTCAGCGGGGAGCCTGCTTCCCCCTCTCTCTCTGCCTGCCTCTCTGCCTACTTGTGATCTCTGTCTGTCAAATAAATTTTTAAAAAAATCTTTAAAAAGTGCAAGCATCCTGAATACATAACAGGAGGTATATGCTATTCATCTAACATGTTAGAAAATGCCACTGGGATCCAAAAATGTTCAAGGTTGTTATGCTCATTGATTCATGAAATAACTACAGAGCATAGTTAGAAATAAGACAATAATTGCCTTCAATAAGCTTGTAGTTTAGCAGGCAGAAGAGGAGGTGTGTAAGAAAGGAAGACCATCAAAACCACAGTGGGACCATGACGGAGAGCCCTCTGCCTCAAGCTCCATTAGTCTGGACTCTCACCCTGCCTCATCCACCAGGTTACCCCCAAGGAAATACACAGTGTTACAAAGGGTGGAATTGTTATATACACACATCCTAACGCCATCCAGCTCCTCCTCCCCAACTAAACAGTCATCTGGAGCTTCTACCAAGTGGTGAGGAGACACCAGCAAACGAAACACATGGACACCTGTAGTGTTAGGTACAGTGAAAAAGCAAGCTACTTGAAGTCAATAGACAAATTCCAGGTTCTGAAACTTTCTAGCTCTGTGTCCTCAGACAAATTGCTCATCCTCTTCCTAGATTGTCCTTCCTCTACAAAATGAGACACTACAAAGGTACCTCAGCTCCAGCTCTGACTATATAGACAATACAGGCATCATCATGTGAGCCTCTAGTGGCAAGGGCTCCCCTCTTTGAGCAGACCAACTTCTTTTTCAGTTTTTTATGGGAAGAGCCTCAGGGAACATATGACCTCATTCACAAATTTATACTGTGGACCACTGCTGGTACCAGGATTAGGCTCCTGAGGCCAGGGAAAGATGTGGGCCATTGGCTCACCAGGGTTCGGGTGTGAAGGGAAGAAACGCACCACTCTCACCGACAGTTTTGTTTGGGAAACAGGATTCTCCTTTACTTGGCCTGAGAAGTTTTTGGTCAGGGATTTGGGTCCTGGGAAATCTCCTAGTCCTCCCTTGCGGGTTGTGTGAGTCGCTCGCCACCTGCCGGTTATTTCTAAAACTGCAGGGAGAACTGCATGAAAATCTTGCCATTGGATTCCTTCTTTAGGAGTCCATTCTATTAATTGTACAATTACAAATCTTGTACAATTCATTTCGACCATAGAGGGCTGTGTTCCTTGTATCGTGTCCCCACAATACCCACATTAGATATATATGAGGTGCCTGTTAATTTTCAGATTCTGAAGCTTCATCTCAGGCACATCAAGGCATAATCAGGGCCCATCGTCTTTTTTTTTTTTTTTTTTTAAGAGAGAGAGAAAGATAGCACAAGCAGGGGGAGGGGCAGAGGGAGAGGGAGAAGCAGACTCCTCGCTGAGTGTGGAGCCATGAGGGTCCATATCAGGATTCTGAGTTCATGACCTGAGCTGAAGTCAGACACTTAAGCAACTGAGCCACCCAGGTACTCCCAATATTCCTTACTGACAAGCTATAGAGTAAGCATTTTGTACTATGAAGACGGAGGACTAATACTCTAGAGGTATTCTAGTTGATAAGATCAGTATCCATTATTCAGAACTGTGAATAACGAATCTCCCCATAGATACACTTTCTTTGCATAAAGGGACATCCTAGTGACTTCTGAAGTGGGTGGAGAGGATTGGTAAGTTATTACAGAGATAGTCTTTGATGTTGTGTATGAAGAATGGTCAGAAACTTTCAGTCTAGATAAAAGGACCATGGGAACAACCCACCCAGCATGGAGCCTTTTGCTTCCTTGACTTTTGAGACTCCAGCAAACTTAACCTCCACTCCCCTTTGGCCACTCCCTTTTTTTTTTTTTTTTTAATTAAGTGAGTTTTTTTTTTTTTTAAGATTTTATTTATTTATTTAACAGAAACAGGGAGAGAGAGAGATCACAAGAAGGCAGAGAGGCAGCCTGAGAGGGGGGAAGCAGGCTCCCTGCAGAGCAGAGAGCCCGATATGGGGCTTGATCTCAGGACCCTGAGATCATGACCCCAGTCGAAGGCAGAGGCTTAACCCACTGAGCCACCCAGGCACCCCTGGCCACTCCTTTTGAGACTACATTTTGGGCTTTGTCTACACCCAGAATAGCTCCATCTTGGAAATCATAGCTTTCCATTCTCCACTCTGATTCCTTCTCATCCCCATTTTTGCTGGACGTCTCTCCAACCTCCTTTCTCAAGTTCTATTTCTTCCTATTCTGGTCTCTCCCAAATTCAGCCTGGAAAATGCGATTGATTAATTCCTAAACCTGTAACATAAAATGCTTATCTTCCCATCCTTAAAAACAGCCAAACCATTCCTTGATCTTATGACTGCCTTCACCTCTCAGTCAGATTTTTTAGAACAGTAGTCTATATCAACTCACAGTCTAAGATTTGTCCCTACTGGAGTTCCTCACTGCGAAGGTTAATTTTACATGCCAAATTGACTGAGCCATGGGTTACCCAGCTATCTGGTTAAACAGTATACTGAGTGTGTCTCTGAGGGTGTGCTGAGCAAAATTAACATTTGAATTGGTGGATTAAGTAGATTGCTCTCCCAATGTGGGTGGGCATCATCCAAGCCATCTTTGGCCAGAATAGACCTAAAAGGATGAGTAAGGGAGAGATCTCTCTCTCTCTCTCTCTCTCTTTTTCTCTTTCTCTCCCTGATTATCTTCAAGCTGGGACATTGGTCTTCTTCTGTCTTCAGACTTGGACTGGAACTTACACCATTAGTTTTACTAGTTCTTAAGCCTTTGGACTCAGACTAGAGCTACACCATCTGTTCTCCTGGGGCTCCAGCTTGTTGACTGCCGTTTTGGGGACTTTTCAGTCTTTGTAACCATGCGATCAATTCTTTATACTCTCTCTCATTATCTATCTATCTATGGGTACAAATATAGATACAGACATAGATACAGATATCTCCTATTGATTCTGATTCTCTGAAGAATACACATTAATACAACCACCGGTATTCTGCTTTGCTAAATGTAGTAGTTACTCAGGTCCTGCACTTGGCCCTGATTTCTCACCTCTTCTTGATGTTCTCTCCTCCTCTGGCTACCATGATTCTTATCCCTTGGGTGATTTTTTCTCAGTACTAGTTTTTAGTTTTCCACTTAGTTTCCATTTAGTTTTAGTTTTTAGTTTTCCACCATAAAGTTTCCCAATGACACACGTTGTCTATAGGTCTTAGCTTCCATGTCTTTTGCTTATGACTCTTAAATTCTTATTTCTACCCTGGACCTCTCTGTGGATCTCAAACTGTGTGACCAGCATCACTACCGGGGGCTCCACTGGTATAGCCAGTGCGACATGTTTGAAAATGGGCTCATCATTCTGACTCCCTCAAATCTTTACCTCCTTTTTGCCCTGTAATTCAGGGCTGGGCATCATCTACTCATGCACTGAAAACACAATCATGGGAGTTGTCCTACACTCTCACTGCTCTCCCACACCCCCTCCACTGCTGCTGAGTCTTACCTATACACAACATACATCTTAATTATATTAATATATTAATTATATTTATTAAATATAATAGATAGATAATAGATACCATTTCCCTCCTGTCTATTGCTAATATCATTGCCCTATTTCAGTAGTATTCCAATTGGTCATTCTGCTTCCAGTTTAATCTCCCTCAAATACATTCTTCTCACTGCCCCCAGAACAATCTAAGTAGATGACATAGTCAAATGTAAAAAAGACACAAGAGTGTAAAGAAATGGTATTTTTATATCCCAGGCAAAGTAATTTTTTCAAAGTGTAATGTACCCTATTGCTCCTCTATTCAAATCTTTAAATAGCTTCCCAATTTTCTTAGGACAAGAATCCACTGCTCTTGATGCTCCATAATAGTAAGGATTCTGCTTTGCCTTCCTTTGCATGCCCAGCATGGTATCTAGAACAAGGCAGGTGCTCAATAAATGCTTATTGATGGAATGAATGGACTTGGTATAAGATGTATGCACATCTGTGATACAGAGAGTGGCATGCAATGTATTCCATAAAAAATTTAAAGAACTCAGAAAAACTATCCCCCTCCTTTGGTGCATCTGTCCATTCACTTACTAGTTGTCATAGGCTCCCGAAGATCAGCAAGACCTTTCTATGTGAGTATCTTCTTAACCTCAAGAAAGCAATCAGATCATCTCTCCAAGGAATACATAACCTGGTATGTAGCAAGTACCTAATCAGGATTAAAGTGTAGTTGACATTGATGGTATCAAATAATGAGGGTTGTTAACTTGTCAGAACTCTTCATGTTGTTTCCACAAATGTGTGAGAAGGAGCATGATGGGAGGAACAGGAGATATGCGCTAAGGGATTGGGTTGGACTGGTTGGGCATGGTAGGTGGGGCTATGGGAAGCCTTGAATGACAGACCAATGGTCTGAGTGTTACAGTCTGAGAGATTTTTTTTTTTAAGATTTTATTTATTTATTTGACAGAGAGAGACACAACAAGAGAGGAAACACAAGCAGGGGAAGTGGGAGAGGAGAAGCAGGCTTCCTGCTGAGCAGGGAGCCTAAAACAGGGCTAGATCCCAGGATGCTGGGATCATGACATGAGCCAAAGGCATATGCTTAACGACTGAGCCATGCAGGCACCACTGGTCTGAGAGACATTTAAACAAGAGAGTGACATCATTATGTCCACAGGAGAATTCTGGAACTAAGGAATAGGGGTTGGTAGGGACAGACTCTGATTAGATCAATCCCCTTTCCTAACATCTCTTTTTGTGATCTGTATTAGCATGCACACTACCATTCATCCGTTCTCTCAACAGACACGAGAATGTAAACCCCAAGAGGGCAGGGACTATGTCTGTTCCATTTATTAGTGACTTCCAGTATCCAGAACAGGGCCTGACACATAACAGGAGCTGAATAAATATGATTTGCAAAAACATTTATTGAATATCAGCTATATGCCAAGTATGTAGTATGCTCCAGGATGCGAAAATTAAAAAAAAAAAAAAAAGACTCAGTTCCTGTGTTTGGAGGGTTCACACGATATCCCTTTCGTAAGAGGGCAAGGAAAAAGGCTATTCAGGGAAGCAATAAAAGAGGAGGAGTCCCAAGCTGTTTGAAGTCATCAAAGGTTTCATTAAAAACAACTCATGAACACTAGATTAGTTGGTGAAGATTTCATGCTCTTCCTATGTGAGGCTCAGGCTGTTCTTTCTACCTAGGGCATCTCACCTCACCTTTCTGCTTGGGTAATACCTTCCTTTCCTAACTGTCATCATGGACCCTGGACATAGCAGGGCACCTCCTCTGCTCTCCCATAGCTCCAGCCCTGACCCAGCTTACCCCTTACCTGCTGTTACTACTTGTTTCATTGTCTATTCTCTCATTGGACTTTAAGTTGGATTCAGGCAGGATATTTTTCCTGTCTTAACCACATAAGTCCTATGTGGGGCAGATTCAAATTTTGGGACCCTGAAGCTTATAAAATTTTGGGGTTCTATTTAGGAAAAAGATATATGGTTACAAATATTATATAGAAAAATGAATGTATCTTTAAAGCAGAAATACAAATTATATATGATTTAAAGCTAGCAAAATGAGACACATTTCAGATAAATTAACATATTTTTATAAATTAAGTGTCAGATAAACTTCTGTAACTAACGTCTATATTTTTTGGTGTGCACTCTTTGATCATCTTGTCTTTAGAGTGAATTAAAAGGTAAATCTTTTTTTCTGCAGTATATGATTAAAATTTGTTCTTCAGTATTGATAGTTTGGATGCTGAAAGCATAGCACTTCACACACAAGTTTGTAGAACCACTGTATATTTCTGCCATTTAATACAAGAATTCTGATACATTTCTTTGACAGAATTCTTTTTTTTTAAGATTTTTATTTATTTATTTATTTGACAGACAGATCACAAGTAGGCAGAGAGGCAAGCAGAGAGAGAGAGGAGGAAGCAGGCTCTCTGCTGAGCAGAGAGCCCGATGCGGGACTTGATCCCAGGACCCTGAGATCATGACCTGAGCCAAAGGCAGAGGCTTTAACCCACCAAGCCACCAGGATCTCCTCTTTGACAGAATTCTTATCAAAAAAGGAAAAAATGTTGTGTTAATCGTTTTTCATACTTTTTTGTCAAGTATATTCCTAACAAGGAAAGAAATTCTGTTTTCTTTAATGACAGAGATTGCCTAGGCATATAATATTTTTTCTCCAGCTGTATTGAGGTATGATTGACAAATAAAAATTATGTATATTAAAGATATACAACTGGATGCTTGAATATTCATATCACTTCAGTCAAGTTAATTAACATACTCATCACTTCACATAGTGACCACTTACTTTTTCTTCTTTTTTTTCTGTGTGTGTGTGTGTGTGTGTAGTAATAACAGTTAAGATACACCCTTTTAGTAAATTGGGCAGCTATGTGTAGAAGAATGAAACTCAACGATTCTCTTACACCATACACAAAGATAAACTCGAAATGGATAAAAGACCTCAACTGAGGCAGGAATCCATCAGAATCCTAGAGGAGAGCATAGGCAGTAACCTCTTCGACATCGGCCACAGCAACTCTCCAAAGGCAAAGGAAACAAAAGTGAAAATGAACTTTTGGGACTTCATCAAGATCAAAAGCTTCTGCACAGCAAAGGAAATAGTCAACAAAACAAAGAGGCAACCCACTGAATGGGAGAAGATATTCGTAAATGACACTACAGACAAAGAGCTAATATCCAAGATCCATAAAGAACTTCTCAAACTCAAGTCACACAAAACAGATAATCACATCAAAAAATGGGCAGAAGACATGAACAGACATTTCTCCAAAGAAGACATACAAATGGCTAACAGACACCTGAAAAGATGTTCATCATCACTAGCCATCAGGGAGATTCAAATTAAAACCACATTGAGATACTGCCTTATACTAGTTAGAATGGCTAAAATTAGCAAGACAGTAAACTACATGTGTTGGAGAGGATGTGGAGAAAGGGGAACCCTCTTACACTGTTGGTGGGAACGCAAGTTGGTGTAGCCACTTTGGAAAACAGTGTGGAAATTCCTTAAGAAGTTAAAAATAGAGCTTCCCTATGACCCTGCAATTGCAATACTGGGTATTTACCCCAAAGATACAGATGTAGTGAAAAGAAGGGCCATCTATACCCCAATGCTCATAGCAGCAATGGCCACAGTCGCCAAATTGTGGAAAGAACCAAGATGCCCTTCAATGGACAAAATGGATAAAAAAGATATGGTCTATATTCTATGGAGTATTACGCCTCCATCAGAAAGGATGAATACCCAACTTTTGTAGCAACATGGATGGGACTAGAAGAGATTATGCTGAATGAAATAGGTCAAGCAGAGAGAGTCAATTATCATATGGTTTTGCTTATTTGTGGAGCATAAGGAATAACATGGAGGACCTGGGGAGCTGGAGAGGAGAAGGGAGTTGGGGGAAATTGGAAGGGGAGATGAACCATGAGAGACTATAGACTCTGAGAAACAATCTGAGGGTTTTGGAGGGGAGGGGAGTGGGAGGTTGGGTGAGCCTGGTGGTGGGTATTATGGAGGGCACGTATGCCCTCCATTGCCCTCCATTGCCCTCCATCCAGTGGAGCACTGGGTGTGGTGTATAAACATTGAATTCTGGATCACTGAAAAGAAATTTAAAAAATAAATAAAAATTAAAAAAAAGAAGAATTAGAGAAAGAATCCATGCCTAAGATCACATATTTGTCTTACCAAGAAACTGAGCACTCCATGGTCTGGTGGGTTGAGTGCCTCAGGAGATGTGTTTCCCAAATTTATGACTCAACAAGTAATGAGTGCAAGTACCAACACCTTAGCTTTCTTTCTTTTTTTTTTTTTTAATTTTATAGTTTATTCTGTTGATGAGCAAGTTTGACTTCAGGAAAAACAATAAATGTAGATGTCATCAGATGTATCTTCACTAAACACAATTGAAAAGAAAGGTTTCCTTTTTATTTTTCTATAGCATAGAATCATAAATGCAGTCCCTGCACTTGAAATTGCATTCAAAGGGCTTCAAGACCCAGATTTCCCTGGTCTTTTCTTTTCTTTCTTACTTTTTTTCTTTTACTTAATTTTTTTTTTAAATTATTAACATGTAATGTGTTATTTGTTTCAAGGGTACAGGTCTGTGATTCATCAGTCTTACACAATACACAGGGCCCACCACAACACATACCCTCCCTAATGTCCAATGCCCATCACTCAGCCACCTCATGCCCCCCACTCCTCTCCCCTCCAGTCAATATTTATATCCCTAACATGGGAGCAGCCAATTATATAAGACCTTAGCTTTCTAATGGTCAGATCTAACGAGGCTCTACAGGGACTAGGAGTCTCTGAGTGGACAGAGGTGTTTATACCACCTTTGCCCTCTGCAGAGTGCTCTGCTCACTCAAGAGCCAGAGAGAAAGGAGAAGTGATAATTTCCCCAACCCTATACCTAAGCACCCCAGGTCTTTTGCTTCTTATCCCACAAGACCACAATTCCTCATCCATCCTGTGAGAATACTAAAAACCTCTCTCATTGGACTGTAGCAAGGATTAAATAAAATAACCTTTGAAGTGTGCCTGGCACTAAATAAATATTTAAGTGCTGAATAAATATTTGTCCCTTTCTCTTCCCAGAGAGAAGGAGATGGAAAGAGTAACATTGAGAGATAGCTTCATTTATGTCTAATGAAAAATCAAGTATTGCTTTAGGCAAATTCTCTAGGCAAGCTACTTTCTCTCTTTGGGACATTTCTTCTTCCTTACGTACGTAAATATAAAAGCATAACTATAACCAAAAAATCTCTTTCTCAAGCCTACAATCTAGAGAAAACACCACTTTATCCTCCTTTTTTGTGGTGGTATCCCTTATGATATATTTACACAATGGGAAGTATACGGCTTTATATTTTACCAGTCACTAATTGAATTATGTGCATTTTGAGATAAATTTTTTTATGATTTTAAAAGTAGTTTTATGGCTGCTTCTGTTATGTGAATGAACTGTAATCGAGTTATTCCCCTACTGCTGAAGTTTTAATCTCTCCCTCATTTTTTCCCCCTGAACACTTTTGTTGTGTGTTTTTCTATGTTTGTGATGAAACTAGTATGAATTGAGTACTTTGTATGGATCAGGCACCATGCCTAGTCTTGGAATTTAGAAAGACCAAGATTTGGTCTCTGGTCTGAGAATGCTTAGTCTAGTAGGAGGGGACAGAAGAGTAACAGAAAGGCAAGAAAGTTTATGAGCTTAGTTATAAAGAAAATTTCAAGATGCTATCTGAGGTGCCGGGGGGCAGTGAGTCAGAGAAGGCTTTTTGGAGGTCGTGTACTTGGGTTAACCAATTGAGTACTAATCCTTACTTCTGAGACTCACCACTGAGGTAGCTTCCCTTGCCTTTGACACTGGATTTTTTTTTCTTCAGACTAAATCTCAGCCTGATCTGCTTAGATTTGGTGCTCTTACACCACTGACCAGTAACCGAACCCATTCTGCTCTAAAATATCTTCAGTCACTGCATGACATTGTTGTCCTGGCATCTGAGAAATCTGGTTTCAATCCAGTCCTACTTGTGTTTAGCTGCCATAGTTATAGTCAATGGGATGTGGTAAATGTTTAGCAAACCACTGACTGTACTCTTGATTTGTAGTGTTTTCTGATTTCCAGGGTGTCAATATTCCCATCATGGCAGATTTCAAGCTACTGATGTGAACTTGAAGCTGAGGAGAGATGTGCAGTAGCATATTATCATGTAGTATTTCTATCATGCAGATATAACAGGCGTAAATAACCTGGGACAATGAACTTAGTAAAATAATTATGAGTATTCATTATCTTTGTTTTTAATTTACTTAATTATAAGTTTCCATAATTGAGTTTTTAATCATGGATGTGTTTAGCAACAGACTCACAAAACCTCTGAAAAATCAGCTCTCACAAGTCTGTATGAGCTGACTTTAGTACTTCGCTGGTCATAAACACATGATTTGTTCTACCTACCTCTCCAAACTCAGCGCACACCCCCCGTGTCCTCCGTTCTTTCTACTTCAACCACAACTGGCTTCTGTCTGCCCCTCAAAGAAGTTCCATGTGTTCATGATTTCAGAGATTTTGTATAGATGTTCATTCCTCGGGGAGTCTCTTCCCCCAGATCTTTGTAATTAGAGCAAAGCCTTCCCGTAATTCAAATAATGCCATGTTGACTAGGTCTTCTTTGTGCATTCAACTTAAATCAGCCTCTCCAAAACAGTCAATTTATTTCATAATATCTCTTTTTATTTTTAAATGTTTTAAAAGATTTTATTTATTTAAGCAAAAGAGGGAACACAAGTTTGGGGATGGGCTGGAGAGGGAGAAGCAGGCTTCTCACTGAGCAGGGAGCCCAACGTGGGGCTTGATCCCAGAACTCTGGGATCATGACCTGAGCCTAAGACAGATGCTTAATGACTGAGCCATCCAGGTACCCTGTGTAATACCTCTTTTCAAAATTATTTCTTCTTGGTCATTATCAGTACTGAGTATATCTTGCCTTTTTCTTTTTTTTGTCCACTTGTTTACTGGTCATGTTCCCTAATAGAACGTGAAATCAATGAGAGCATTGACTGTCCTACTCATTATTGTTTGGAACAGTACCTGACACATAGTACATTCTCAACAAATATTTGTTGAATGAATGAACGTTTGAATGACAACATTCAGTGACCTCACTCTCCTGTTGCCAAGAAGGAATGATAATGTAATGGCTTCAAAGTCTCCAAAATATACAGACACACACATAAACACGCACAAACACACACACACATTTCATTTAACACTCTTGTGATCAAATGCACGTGATTTACCTATTGATTTAATTATAATTCAAAGAAATGTCTAAGTTCTAAGAATTGTAGGAACAGCTTGCTTTAAGTTTTATTTTGGTTAAAACCACAAGTTCACATGTTAATTGTACTTATTTTATGTGGGCATTGGCGATCTTCAGATTTATAGATTGTCTGTGTGGGAGAAGTTAGGCTAAGAAGTATGCCATAGAAATGAGGATCTGGGGTGCCTGGGTGGCTCAGTGGGTTAAGGCCTCTGCCTTCAGCTCAGGTCATGATCTCAGGGTCCTGGGATCAAGCCCCACATCAGGCTCTCTGCTCAGCGGGGAGCCTGCTTCCTCCTCTCTCTCTGCCTGCCTCTCTGCCTACTTGTGATCTCTGTCTGTCAAATAAATAAATAAAATCTTTAAAAAAAAAAAAAAGAAATGAGGATCTGGGGGGATGGGGTAAGAGGGTGATGGGTATTAAGGAAAAACACCATGTTGTGATGAGCACTGGCTGTTATATACAACTAATGAATCATTGAACACTACCTCAAAACTAACAATAAAAAAAAAAGA